TTATTTGAGAGAGAGAATGAGATAGAGCATGAGACGGGGGAGGGTCAGAGGGAGAAGCAGACTCCCCCCCCCCCCAGCAGGGAGCCCGACGCGGGACTCGATCCCGGGACTCCAGGATCATGACCTGAGCCGAAGGCAGTCGCTCAACCAACTGAGCCACCCAGGCGCCCTGGGCTGGTTAGGTCTTACGAGGTCTGTTCTTATCTAGACTCTAGGCCCCCTCCCCTCCAGAACACCACAGAGGACTCCTCTCCAGAAGCTCCAGCTCATTACATATCCCTCCTCCTGGCTCCCTGAATCAATCCCAGTCCGGCTTCAAGGCCTCAGGTGTCCTTCTTTACAGGAGTCCCAGGCCCCAGCCAGGCTGACACACACTGGCAGCTCCAGGGATTTGCTCCAAGTCCTGGGCTCTGAAGGGCCTGCTCTCCTGCCCCCTGGTGTTGGGTCCCCTCTACTACATGGCAAGAGAGACAGGGTACTCCAAATTTCCCATTCGTCCAACCCCTTTTCCCAAGTTCAGGCCAAAGACTACTCAGGGAGTTCACAAGAGTAGTGCTGAGGACCTCCGGGGGGATGCAGGCGGGGCAGGGTAGAATCTATGATGTCAGGAAGGGAACTCCAGGTCTCAGCCCTGGGTATGGAACAGGGGACGAGGGGGCCCCACAATATAGGGACCTGGGACAAGGGCCTTAACGGTGCAATTCCAGGCAGGGAGCAAACTCCAGACTCCAAAAAGGACCTGGGAGGAGGTGCAAGAAATCCCTGAGGGTCAGTGCTTAGAGGGAGGGAGCACCGTGTGTTCTGTCCTCCCCCCCGGGGATTCTTGCCAAGTGTAGGAATGGAGCAACAGTGGGGACTACAGCTGACCCTAGAGGTTTGGCCTAAATGCCACAATGTGTCCTCACTGCCATGTGCCCTCTTCCCAGGACCGAGAGGATGGCCCCCCAGCCCCACCCACGACTTCCCCTCGACCTAAGTCAGTTGCAGGGCAAGGACTCTGGCAGACTCGAGTTCCAAGGGAGCCAACCCATCCATGTGAGACACCTATGGAGTAGTCCCTGATGATCCCACCTTCGGGGGCTCTAACCAGCATGAGGGGTGAGTACAAAAAAAGAGGCAGGTACACTCACCATCAGTAATCTCCATCTCATAAGGGGAGGGTCTCCTCTTCACTCGGTTGTTGGTGGCGAACATAGGGAAGGCATCTGGCTCCCCAAAGAACCCACTGTGGGAGGGAGCAGGCAGATCACAAGATCACACGTAGGTGGAGGGGAGGAAGGCTCCTTAGCGATCCTCCCCACATGTTCTTTAGCCCCGCCCCCCGGGAAAACAAGGGCAACCCTGCTCCCTTCATACCTGAGTTTGGGACAGAAGGAGCGTCACACACAGACCCCCAAACACACTCACAGAATGCTCCCACTCTCCTTGGTGAGACAAGCAAGGGGAGAAGGGGCCACACACCCACACACCCCTCCCCACACACAATCAGAAGTGAACACATGGAGCAAACGCAAAAATGAATACACACACCCCACAGGCAGACATACTCCCCTTCCCCGGAGGCGAGCACACAATCCACACACACCTCCCCTCCCAATCAGATACTCACACAAGCAGGGGTGGCTTTCACACCTGATGGTGTGCAACTCTAGCACCTCACATGGTCGCCTTCCCCACAAATCACCCCACCTTCACGCAGGCCCCAGGGGGCCTGTGGACAGACAAGAGAAAGGAAACCTCCCTCGAGGGACCACTGCTTACATGCCCGCCCATTCTGGGCTCTCAATCGCTTCTTCCTCAAGGTCTCCCAAAGACTCACTAACTGCCCCACACTGTCAACCCCTGCCTCATCTTCCTGTCTCCACCCCAAACCTACCTCTATCTCCCCACTGTCTCTGTGGCCCCAGCAGGGGAATGGACACCTTAACACGGAGGGGGGTACAGGCCCCAGCCTGAGACCACAGCTAGGGGCAGAGGGGTTCAGGAGGGGCCGGAGGGATCCACTCCCCACACCCGCCCTGGAGCGGTTCCTGGGGAGGGAGCCCTCTTGCAACCACCCTCGGATCTTATCGCTTACCTGTCCACTGAGGGCTGCAGCTTCCAGAAGAATTTCACAGCGAGGGCATTCAGACACACTCTTGCCTGGTACTCACACTCAAGCAACTCCCTTCGGTCCACACCACACCCCCAAACCCTAACACACACACACACACACACACACACACACACACACACAC